TCGGGTTCTGGACCCCTGTTGCATCATTATATATGCTCTGTTTTTTCTCTCTATCGCAGTCTGATATTCTTCGTTAAAACAGTCATTCGTTCTTGTTCTTCTTTGTTTACCTTTCATGCTTAGTCATTCTTCAGCTGATTCTTTCATCATGTTTCTGCACCCTTTCCACTCTTCATTTATGTTTTGATGTTTTAGTCTGTTTTCTAGTTTGATGTTTCTATTTTTTTTATATTCTCTATTTATGTTTGTATTTTTATTTATATTCTATATTTTCAACTCTCTTACACTGATATATGTAATAACGTTTTCTTCGCTGTTAGGCCCGGTACGCACCCTGCTACAACGCGGTTGTATGTAAATATAACATTAAAAATACCCGGACTTGGCACTGACATGGAACGCACATGGTACGGTTATGAAAAAGTCGACCTTTATGGTTTTATATTAACAACATACCGTTATAAGACCCCGTCTCATTATTTTGATGAAATTTTAATTTTTGGCGAATAAAATAAGCTCATCCACCAAAATTTTAAAAAAATTTTGTTGATCCCAATAGAAATGGAGAAAAAGATTAGGATATTAAAATAAAAGATTAGATAAGAATTGATAATCAAGTATGCTTGACTTTAATTCAGCAGACCTGATTAACCTTTATTTATGGTGTCTTTCGAATAGCTACTGCACAGGATTGATAAAAATAAGACACCACACTAATGGAAATTTATTAGATTCTAAATACATATTAAATTTTATTATACAAACAATACTAACGATTAAACAAAGTATAGGCAAATGAGTAAGTTAAACAACTTATTCAAGGCAATAATCATTATATCATCTTTCCTCTCTAGGAGGAAAATTTTTTGTACATGGTTGAAAATTTCAGTATTTGAGGAAAACATAATTCTATATATCTTTTTTTTTTAATATTTATTGCTTGAATAATCAGGAGAATCACTTATAAATATAGGCGAATAAGTAGTACTTAATATTTACGTTTAATTTCTTCAGAGCACTTTGTTCTAAAATCTTTATATGACCTTGTTGTTCAAGCTATATATTTCTATACTTATTTTATTTTTAGATTATCTGCACGAAAGGATAATTTTGGAAACGTGACGCAATTTTTCTACAACAACGCCCTAAATCCTAGGGAAGTTAGCCAAATCTATTCTCCCAGGGACGGAAAGTTGATGTCACTTGTGTATGACAATAGAGGACATCTCATCTATTCTCAAGTGTATAGGCACAAATACTACGTAGCTACTGACCAATGCGGTACACCTATCATGATATTTAATCAGTATGGAGAAGGAATTCGAGAAATTATGCGATCACCGTATGGGCATATAGTCTACGACTCTAATCCATATTTGTACCTGCCTATTGATTTTTGTGGAGGTATTCTTGATCAGGTAAGTACAAACAAACACTGTTTAGATTAAATGTATTTTATGTAACAATAAAACACTGAAAACTTTGTTTTCAAACTTCCACAAAATTTATTTTAACTTATCACTAGAGCTGTTTCGGCACATTGCCTTTCTCAAGTGATCTATTTTTAGCATGCGTTTACATTTTAAAGTCTTTAATGAAATGGATTGAGGAGGGGAGAACTCTTTGTCTCAAGTTCGTCATTCAGAATTATATCTGTGTTTTTTAATTTGTTGATTTCCATAGATTCTAACAAGGATAGCTTAAGGCCTTTATTTTGAATGTGAAGAATTTTCGTCATTAAAAGAATGATTGTGATCTAGAAGGTGAAGTGCGTATGTAGAATCTGTTTTTCTATTATTGAAAGCCCTTTTATGTTCTGCTATTCGTTTATTAAAGTTTCTACCAGTTTGACCGATGTAAGTTTTTGGACAGTCGCTACATTTAAGTTTGTACACACCACTGTGTAAGTGTTTTTTATTTTGGCTCTTGTTGTTTTTGATATATTTGCCTAGGTTGTTATTTGTTCGGAAAGCTGGTGTTATTCTTTTCTTTTTTATGTGTTTGGCTATTTTAGTTGATATTTTGCCTGTATATATAATCGAGCAGAAGGTACTGGCTTTTTTCTCTGGTGGTGGAAATACTAATTTCAGGGGCTCCAGTTAGTTATTCTCCACAAGAATTTTGGACTTTTTACAGTTTAATTTCATGCCGTATCTGTGACAGGCTTTCACTACATGGTCTATTAATATTTGTAGATCCTCCGCATTATCAGTAATCAAAACCGTATCGTCCGGAAGTTTTCTATATATGCGAGAGTGAATAACAGAAAGAAGGATTTTGAGTGCATGGCCCATTAAGCTTATTTCTGTAATCAGAGCATCTGGTGGCATTTGCCTTTTTGGGGAGAGAGATGATTTTTGAAACTAGCCAATCTCTACGAAATCTGCAGTTTCATAGATTTTGTTCAGTAGACTCGTTAGGAAATTAAGTTGGTTGTCTTCAAATAGTTGCAATATTTGCTTGTATGTTATCAGGTCTAGGTGCTTTGTTGGTTTTTAGTCTTTTTATTGCATATGTTACTTCACTAAGCGATATTTCTGGTCCTGAACATCCAGAAATACTGACTCTTGCTCTTCCTTGTATAATTCTTCCATGAATTGTCTCCATCTCTCAAGTATTCTCTCATTTTCGTAGGGCAGATTGTTGTGCTCGTTTAGTATTAAGTTATGACTTCGTGATCCGTTTTCTCTCGTTAAGTTTTTGATCTTTTATGCCGGTTAAAAGTGTCATGCTTCTGTTCTAGGGATTCTATTTCTATGCATTGATCTTGTAGCTATGATTATTTTGCTTCTTTAATCTTTTTCTTAATGATTTTGTTTATTTCTTTGTACCTTTCCTCATTCTTATTTCTGTGTTTTCTACATTCTTCCATTAGCTCTAATATTTTTTGTCTCATCCACTGCTGTTTCTTTATATTGTTTTCTGGTTTAAGTTTATTATCTACCACTGAATTACAAATATTTTTGATTTTATTCTACATATCATCCACACTTGTATTTTCTTGATTAATATCTGAGATTGCCAATCTGTTTATTTTATTGTTGATCTCCTCTTTGACTTCGTCTCTTGTGGTTTTAACTTCTGGATATCCGGACGTTTTTGTGCTTGTCTTTTATGGACTTTTTTCATGTAAAGTTTGAAACGTCGTAGTAAAAGATTATGTCTGATGGAACATCTGCTCCCGGACATGTTTTTGCGAATTTTACGGAATTCTGAAATCGTTTGTTGATGATGATGTAATCAATCTGGTTTCTAATCATTTTTTTGACACTCAGCTAGAGATTTCCAGGTGTAGTGTCTTTGAGATGGTAATTTGAAAAAGGTGTTAATTATTGCACTATCCGTTTCTTGGCAGAACTAAACAAGGCGGTCTTATCGGGAACAGTATTGCCAGCACCTCCTTTGCCTACTTTGGCGTTTAAAATCTTCTAGCAGGATATTCACTTCTTGTTTTTTGGTATGTTTTAGGGATTCTTTCAATTGTTCATAGAATATTTTTATTTCCTGCTCTGAGCTTTCCGAAGTTGGAGCATATGCTTGAATAATGTTCATGTTAACTGGTTTATCATTAATTTTGAGTACTGCAGCTCTATCCGATATTCCTATAAAACTAAGTAGACATTTGTTAACTTTTTTATTTACTATTATAGCCACTCCGTTTTTGTTTCTTGTTGTAGTATCTCCACAGTACTATATTGTGTGATTTTGTATTTCGCACTGGCCTAAATTGGGCCATCTACCTTCACTGCATCCAAGTATGTCAATGTTGAGTCTTCGGATTTCTTTAATTACGTTATTCACTTTTCTGGCCTGAAATAAACTTCGTACAATCCATGTACCAATCTTCTTATCATGCTTAAATTTAAATATTTGTAGCAACCGGGGATTCTTAGCACCCTCTCCCCACTTAAGGAGTGCCCGGGACTAAGGGCCGTTTCTATATTGACTTGATCCATTGTGATTATACCAGGGAAAGTTATCCAATGATTTTTCTTTCGTGTACGGTTTACTACTTGGGAATGGATATGTGAGAGGATTTATTTGTTTTGGTAGGTACCTTGGGGTAGGGACTAGACTTCCTCCGGCACGGGTTGGGGGATAGCCATGAATCGCGTGGGCAGGGTTGCATACCTGAAATAGATCTATCTCATACCGGAATTGTCCAAGTATATCTACCCGTCAGTACCAATCTATTTTTCAATAGGTTGGACATCGAATTTAAAAAACAAAAATTCTGAGATGAGAAGATTAAGTCAATTAGTCTCAAAATATGCATTTCCATTTTAATTTTATATTGTAGAAGTCAGTTTAAAAAATCCATAAACAAATTAATATACAGTTGCACAAATTAATATACAGAATATATTAAATTAAGGAACTTTGAACTTTAAGGTTTAAAACACATTAAGTATTTCTTACCCACAAGCTGAATCATTTTTAATCGAGAGAATATGATGCTACAACATCATAGTAAAAAGTTTTCCGAAAGTTAAGTACGGGAACCTATTTCAATCAAATTTTTAAACAAATACAAAATTTCTTTTTTATTTGAAACAAATTAATTATTTCGTTGTTTCAACTACCGACGAAATTAAAAACCTACCATCTTTGTAGGATTCATCATCGGATCATTACAAAAACCATTGTCTTAAATATGTATGTAGTGTATATGCGCCTGACTTGCATTATTTATTGGTTAAACATTTAAATGTTTGAATACCAAATATATATAACACACAGTTTATTGATCATACGGTGTTTATTGATCTCTTTAACAAATTTTTGTCTGAAAATACGCTAAACAAAAGTTCTATTTCGTTTTATCTACAAAAATCGCGTTCTTCTTCCGCAATAGACGACGAAAAACGCGTACATAAAAGCGGCAGATGTTCGTCAAGTTCTAAATGTTCTGTCTAAAAGTGCTGTTCTAAATAGTTCGACTGAACTCCACTGGAATCAATCTATCAAATTTCTAAACCATGTCAGACTTCTTCTTACATTACTTTTGCTTTCTTTCATTCTTTCTTGTACTATTACATGTAATAGTTCTAACAGTTTCTTAAAGTTAATTTTATTTTATAGGTAACTTCATTGGTTCATATGACTAATGGTAAGGTCTACGATCCCCTTATTGGTCAATGGATGTCGCCTTTATGGGAAAATGTATTAGGCAGAATTCCTACACCAACACATCTCCATTTATACAGATTCAACGGAAATGATCCAATTAATGTTGAACTCGATAGGACAAGACCACAAGGTAATATATACTATCTAAAAGTAAGAACAATATTTATATCATTTATAATTTTATTTTAGATCATCTTGACTGGTTAAAGAAAATAGGAATAAATTTAAAGAACTTAGCTCCGCAACTTTACCCAGACGAATTACCAGGTGGACAGATGCCTCCTTTCCTATCACATCCTCCGACATTTTGGAATCCGTCCAAGACTGGTCTTAGTAGTAAATTAAACTCCCAGCCGTCTTCCGTTGAAATTCATTCTGGATTTTTAGCCCATCTGAATCTAAGGAAAATGTTGACAGCAAGGGAATTATCAGTATTTTCTAAATCTGCTCTTAAAACAAACGTTATTGACTTAGTGCCGAAGAAAATCGGATCAGCGTCTGATCCACCCTTCGGACGAGGTATTTTAGTATCTCAAACTGAATCAGGACAAGCTATTGTATCGAGTGTTCCTGCTGCAAATGCCATTTATAGAGATGTCTATACCTCTGTTTTCAACAGATCTTTTATGTTACCTTTTACCTTTATCGTTCATAACGCACAACAGGATGCATTCCATTTTGTTAAGGATGAGACGTGGAAGGCCAACGATGACAAAGGTAAATATTTCTAGTTTAATACTGTAATGTTTTTTATTTAATACGTAGTAGTTAAAAAGTAGTTTGAAAAAGTTGGGATATTTATGGTAAATGAAAATTAAAATTATTTATATACCCTGAATTTTACAAGCAAGCAGATAAATCACATCATACCATAAATCATAAAAGTTTTTGTTAAAAATCCTTTATAAAAGATATATAATTAAAAGACCCTTTCGGGCTACATCACAATAGATCATTTTCGGACTAATAAGTCCATTATCAGTGCATTTACCAGGTGTACATGAGTGCATCTGCCAACGTATTTAAAGCCTATGATAACTGCACAGGCTTCATTATTGCTGCTACTCCTGCTTCATTAAAGAAAGATATAGTGCCTGCATCTATAAAAGGCCTTCGCGCTGATGCCCTTGTAGATACTGGTAGCTCTGTCAGTTTTATTAATGAAAACTTTGCTAACATGTGCAAACTCCCTAGGTAGCTCTGTACTAATTCTATCGCCTCATTATTACACAAATCTGAAGTTAAAGATGTGACTACTCAAAATATTTAAATTGGTGTCTACTCGTACGACAACAATAATTTACTTATCGTGTGAAAAATCTCTAGGCTATTATACTTGATAATGATATTCTATTTATCCACTCAAGACTAGAGTTTGAATTTGGAGGATCTAAAGAAGTATTCAAGGTATGTAGTGTAGTTGAAGCCAGTACCTGCAGTTCCTTTATTTTGTAACCTGACTTCAAATTGTAAACCTATCGCAGTAAAATCGCGCAGGGATAGTGCTAAAGATCAGATTTTTATTAAAAATAAGGTGAAAAAGCTTTTAAATGATGGCATTATTAAAGAAAGTCAGTCCTCTTGGAGAGCGCTTATTACCAAAAACTAAACCCACAAGAAGCGGCTTGTATTGATTATTCTCAAAAAATTAATCAATTCACTCAACTTGATGCCTATCCACTAACAAATATCGAGGAAATGGTGTCCAATGTATCACAATTCACTGTCTTTAGTGCAATAGATTTCCAAAGTTCATACCATCAGATTCCATTACTTCCACATGAAAAGATGTGCACAGCTTTTGAAGCCACTGAGAAACTGTACCAATTTTGTCGCATTCCGTTTGGTGTTACTAATGGTGTAGCCAGTTTCCAAGGAAAAATCGACTAGCTCATACGCACAGAAAACCTTGAAAGGATATATGCCTACCTTGATAACATAACTGTTTGTGGTAAGACGATGGTAGAACATAATAAAAATCTTGAGAACTTTCTGAAGGCCACAGACAAATATGGCTTGACACTAAACAAAACCAAGAGCGAATTCAATAAAACAGTAATAAAATTACTTGGATATACTATAGGACCAAACCATGTCATAAAGCCCGATGGTAGTAGACTACAACCTTTATTAAAACCGCCTCCATCGAATTACATTGCATCTCTCAGAAGAGTATTAGGTATGTTTGCCCATTATTTAAAATGTATTCCCAATTTTTCCGAAAGAGTCCACACATTAGCTTATGTCAACAATTTTCCATTGAAAGAAAATGCTTTATCTTGTTTTGAAAATCTGAAATCTATAGTTGCAAAGTTATCTGTTCTCGCATCAACGAAAAATGCCATTTGTTGTTGAAACTGATACTTCATAACACTCAATTACTGCTACCTTGAGTCAGGATTCCAGACTCGTTTCTTTCTTTTCAAGATCACTTAACTCTAGTGAGCTAAACCATTCTGCTGTGGAGAAAGATGCATACGCTATTGTTGAATCTCAAAAGAAGTGGCGCCATTTTCTTATAGGAAAGCTTTTCACAATCATTACTGATCAAAAGTATGTAACAGTTATGTTCAACACGAAGCATTCCAGCAAGATTAAAAATAAAAAAATACAAAGATGGCGACTTGAATTGGTACCTTATAAATATGACATTATGTATCGACCAGGAAACAATAACCAAGCATCAGGTGCTTTATCGCGCAGCTGCTCTTATGCTACTACCAGGACAGCAGGTGCATCAAAACTTAAGTCACGTCACACTGCACTTTGTCATCCAGGGGTAACACCTATGTTTTATTGGATAAAATCAAAGAATTTGCCTTTCTCTCTCAATGAAGTTTTGTCACAATGACTCGTGACTGTGGGGTACGTTCAAAATCAAGCCGAGATACTTTAAGAATGATGGGCTTTTTCCAAAGCTTATAAAAGCCACATCTCACTTCGAACGCCTTACTATTGACTTTAAACGACCAGTGCCTTCGAATACCAATAATCGGTATATTCTTACGGTAATAGATGAGTATTCTAGATTTCCATTTGCTTTCCCATGCAGTGACATTAGTGCCAAAACAGCAATCAAGACTTTAAATAACTTATTTATGATGTTTGGAATGCCTGCATATATTTATTCGGATAGAGGGACTCAATTTCTATCAGCTAAAGTCAAAGAGTGTTTTTAACTCCAGAGGAATCGCAACAAGTAAAACTACTGCTTATAATCCTCAAGAAAATGGTCAAGTGAAGATGTTAAATTCTACTGTATGGAAAGCTGTTTACAATACCTACCTTACGTACTGCATTGCATTCGTTAACTGTTGTGTACCGCAACTAACTACGCCGCATGAAAGGATGTCCGTGCGCACACGTCAATCTCCAAATGGGAATACAATACCGTCATGGCTAGCAGAATCTGGGCATGTCTTGATGAAAAGGTTCGATCTGAAAAACAAGTACCAGCCTATCGAAGAGGAAGTGAAGAGAGGCAAATCCTAAATATTCTTTTGTTAAACTTAAAGACGGACGGGAGACCATAGTGTCTAATCGTCATCTAGCTCTGATTAGACTAGGTGAATGGAAAATACTAGATATACCAGGTCAAGAATCAGTGTTCATAGAAGACCCATATGAGTTACATTCGAGCCTTAATGGTTCCTCATCCAATACAACTACGCAAAACATGCAGCTCCTGACAGATACATCTACATCTCCCCCTCCATTGGATTTATTACTTCTTGAAGAACCTCCAATGAGTTCTGAACAGAGCTTATCGCCTCCTTCGGCAGTGTCTGGAAAATCTGAAAGAATTCGTCATTTACCACGGTATTTGGAAGATTATAGTGTGGGAGAATGATTATTGTTTTTGTTAACATTATGTCTACACTTTATGCTGATTAAAACCTTATATCCTAGGTTTTTCTTTATCATTTCAAGATCCTTTTGAACTGCACACCAGTTTAAATAGACCTCTGTATTTAGATTTTATTCAAAAACATTTACACGAATTACTAGAGGATATACCTGTCGCCTTAAGATAAAACGCGTGGTTTTTACACGACAGGGCACGACAACATCCTTCTAAAATCAACAGTTTTCGCATCGATGGATTAGCCGTGGATGTAACTTTGCTTGGCCACCAAGAAGTCCTGATTTCAATCCTTTGGATTTTTTAATTTGGTCACAAATGAAGGCATTAGTTTAGAAAAAAAAAAGAATTAGTTCCATGGACGTACAAACACACTATGCTTATACGTCCATGATTAATTCCCTTTTATAATTATTATTATTATATATAACAAATAAGGGCCGAGGAGCGAGCTCCTATTATGCCCAAAAAGCAAAAATAAACAAAAATAAAATAGATCCTTATAAAACTAATACTAATTATAAAATTAAGTAGTTAAACAATTAACGAAAATTGAATTGTGACACAATAAATAAATAAATAATGCTGTCCGAGAAAAAATATCCTATCCTATAAAAAAAATAAAGTGCTATCACGTTTATTTTTAAAGATGCTAACACTAGCTGCCGATATGGTGTCTTGATCCAAATGATAGATAGATATTAAAGATTCTGTTTGGCAAGAAGTTCGCCCTGGACCTTGCAGTAGTTTGTTCCCTCTTTAATTTGTATCGATGGCGTCTTAATCTATCGTCTTCATTTAAAGTGAATATGTTGTTTAGGTTCCCAAAATTATGTTTTAAAATACGGAAGGACATAATTAGGTCACCTCGAAGACGTCGCTGCTCGAATGTCGTAAGATGAGCCATGAATAGTCTATCTTCATAGTTAGGTTTTACACGGCCGTATGCCAGTCTTGTGGCTTTACGCTGAACGTTTTCAAGTAGAATTTTATCGCGACTAAGATCTGGATTCCACACTGGTCCGGCAAACTCAAGAATAGGTCTAACGTATATTGAGTAAAGTTTACTAACTTTTATTTTTTTGTTACTTTATTTTTTTACTAACTTTTTTTGACAGATAATAGAAGAAGCCGCGAATGTAAATAAAAATAATCATCAATCAGCCAATCGAGTCCACTGCTGGACATGGGCCTCCCTCAGTTATTTCCAGTGTTCTCTACACTTTGCCGCTTGTAGCCAGTTTCCCGCTACACGTTTTATATCATCAGTCCATCTAGTCGGTGGTCATCCTCGGCTTCTTTTATAGTTTCTGGGCCTCCATTCCATAATACGTCTTGTCCACCGTCCATCTTGTGCGTCATGGTTCTTTCGATGACGTCTTAAACTCCTGATCTTTGCTTGATTTGTTGATTTATGTGGTCTCGAAGGCTCACGTTCAGCATTGCACGTTCCATGGCTCATTGTGTAACTCTGAGTTTATTCGCAGATTTTTGCGTGAGTGTTAAAGTCTCTGCTCCATAAGTTTGTACAGGCAAAACACATTGGTTATAAAACTTTCGCTTGAGACACATGGGAATTGAGGTTTTTTAGAATATGGCTTAATTTGCCAAATGCTGCCAATGTCAGGCCTATTCGCCTCTATATGTCATGTGTTTGATTGTCTCTGCTTATTTTGATCTCGTGTCCCAGATATTTGTAAGTGTCTGTTTGTTGTTTGGTATTATTATTAATAGTTATATTTCCACTCATTACGAGATTTGTAACTATAACTAAATAAATTGTAACTATAAATAAAAATAATAGACTTATTATAAATGTCTAAAACGCTTATGTGATATTAAAAGATCGCTTATTTGCCAAACCGGGCCATAAAGTGTATTGAAGTAAATTATGGACATTTTGAAAATTTTCTTTGCGATTTAACATTGGAATTTAACATTCCTACAGTTAAAATGTAGAATTCCACCGTCATGCTGACAGATAATTTAATAATTTCAAGTATGATTTAATCCATTTAAACCTAACAACAGTTTGGTTTTTAGCTTATGTTGTCAGTACTACAAAGTTCACTGAAGATGGACTTGTGATGTCCTCTCGTAGGAGTCACTATCTGGGTAGCTTTTAGACAGTCAGAGACAGAGTTCAAAACAAAAATAAAACTTTATTGTCTTCCTTAAATTAAATTGACAAAAATCTTATGTACATATTTACAATTTGGTTTAGTCTTCTCAGTACCTGGCCTATTTATTCAAATTAAGTTTGACCTTGTCATATAAAATTAGTTTTATCGGCAAGCGAATGTGTATTTGAAATTTTACGGGAACGTTGTATCGATTTAATAACAGCGGACTATAAGTACAAAGAAAGGAAAGGAACTCAACACGTCCCTTAAGTGATTCGGGTTAACAGGACACTCCTCGACAGTCTCAACACGACTGCTTCAGAATATGGGTAGTGAAGAGATCAACACGCTCTTCGGGTAACGGCGGTATGGGACGGAACAACTTGTGAACTCAACACGTCCACAAGCCGGGGTAGGGAAGAAGAGAACCTTCAGTCAACACATGTCGATTCCCCTTCTATGAGGAAATGTTGCGGTTTATATAGCGGCTCTTGGTAATTAGTTTTGCCCTTTCTACTATCGATATACTCCTACTTCATGGGTTGGTTCGCGCGCACGCTGGTATAACGGTGATGGCTTGGACTCATCGTTACAGTCTAATTAGTCCAAAAACGTTTTGAACTTAATCCTTTTGGATTTTTAAATTTAATTTCCATTAAATATACCAATTACAACAACAGTTTTTACTTCGATGTTCGAATTATTTAATAAGTTTATTTGAGGTGTAAAACCATTGTTAAAATATTTTTATTTGGTTACAGGTCAGTTAAAACGTCTTCAAGGTCAAGTAAATACAACATTCCATGAAATTGCCAAGGAGAACGGCAGTGGTACCAACTACTTCGACGTAAAAATCCATGGATCTAACGTAGTTATTAATCTACGTTACGGCACAACTATAGAAAAAGAAAAACAAAGACTGCTCCATCATGCCAAACTCTCAGTTATCAGAAAAGCTTGGCATAAGGAAAAAGAATGCTACAAAAATGGTTTTACCGGTAGCGTTGATTGGAGTGTTAGTGAGTTAGAAGAACTTTCAAAAGTTGGTTACGTCAGTAATTATGAGGGGGAATATATTCACGATGTACAGCAATACCCAGAACTTGCGGAAGACCCGTACAACGTTAAATTCGTAAAGAAACAAGTAGAGTCTACAAAGAAACGAAGAAGGAAAAGAGAGTTAAGAAAGACCTGCCAAGATCGCTGGTGGTTCACCTTCGCAGAAGTATGCTAGTGAAACAAATTCCAAAAACTTGACATGAAAGTGAATCATTTCAATTAACTAAGTGTGATGTACCAAAAAGAAAAAGCTTACGAAGTAAGCCTTTTATACCAAAGTCTATTTGTGTAAGAATTTCAAAGATGCCAAAATGTATATTATTTATTTAAAATATGTTACCTATATGTATGTGATTCAAAAAGGTTTATATTGGATTTGGCCCAATCAAGCTCTTTTTATAATTATTTCACATATGACTGATTATTGATTTGCCAAATCCATTTCATACCTATCTTGTATATATTTTACATAATTATAGGAAAAAAAGGCAAATGAAATGTATAGTTACAATTTTCAAGAAACATTTTTATTGTACTTCCGGAAATTTCACCTGAACCTTATAGATCTAATGAATAATGAACTTACCATAGCAATTGCAAAACGTGTTACAAATATCATTTTTGCGATATCGTCATTATCATTTAGCCAATGGCGTTAACTACTAGACATAGGCCTTCCTGAGTTTCTTCCAATATTCACTAATATTTCCAGATTTTCATTTCACGTCATCGGTCCATCTATTCGGTGGTCATCCTCGGCTTCTTTTATAGTTTCTGTGCCTCCATTCCATGATTCGTCTTGTCCACCATTCATCTTATGTTCTAGGTAAATGCCCTGCCTAGTTTAACTCATAGTAAACACATAATCATAAATATAAATGTGGTAAGTTAAGAACTTTTGCACAGTTTCTGTTTTTTCTGTACTTTCTGTACTTTCGTAAATTTTATGTCATATTTATGTGTTTATTGAATATACACACAAGAGAAAATGTTATTAATTATTATATTTAAACAATAGAGGATTCAAACAAAAAATGACATAATTTAAAATACGTTATCGTAAATAACTATTCCAAAGCGAAAAAACATTTTGTATCAAAATTTTTAGAAGACCGTATCTATTAATTTAATGCATACTCAAATTTTTTTAAGTACTCATACTATGCCAAATGTGTTAAGACTGAAAAACACAATTTTGGATAATCTGAAAATTACCAAAATGATTTTTGTAATACGCTCGCAAACAAAAAATACCTTAATTCAAAATTTTATCTGACTTTGGCACCAATTTTTCAAGTCTCTGATTTTATTAAAATATTTAATTTTGTTTATATCTAGATCATTTATACACATTTTATAGTTTTAAACATTGTTAACTACAGAAAATATTATTTTTATAAACGTTATAACTATGCACTATTACAATGTAAAGCTGTCTTCAACTTTATTGTTAAATTGGCCTTCACATCGACACTACTCATCTCTTCTTTTTTCCTGTGACCTGTCCCATTATCGTGCGTTAGCTATCAAATTGGGTATACTAATTTTGTTGATGGCCTCTCGGAAAAGGGATGTAGAGGATCTGTTAAAGCATTCTCTTAGGTTTCTAAGCCATGACGTTATTCTTAGACCTGGCCTCTTCTTTCGTCTATCTTACCTTGTATCAAAGTTTGATAGTTTTTCCCGTCCATTGCAAAACAACCTCGTTATAACCTCTATCTTTGCACCTTATTCGCAGAACTCTCCGATACACACAGATTTCAAAAGCTTTAAGTTTTGAACAAATCGATCAACTCAAATGAAGTAATTGATGCAATCAAAATTATGCTTATTTTGATTTATATCTTCTAATCCATCACTACAATCTTTTGGGCAGGAAATCGCAGGTTTGTCCTTTTTTTAATTTTCTCGTCAAGAGTACTTCTGGTGAAAGTAATCCGCTTAATACCTTTATCACATCAGTTTCTTTCTCAAGATGTAGCTGCTAGAGGATATCGTAGTATGATGACCTTGTTATTGTCATCCGAATTCCTTCATGTTCCTGAACTGTCTCCTTTGAGTTGTCAATAAGCATTGCCGAAATACCTTAAGTATTTTGATGTTTTCTGTAAGAGTACTTTCCTAGAGTCGTCTTCTGTTGTTGGTTTCTGGCCAATGCTGTGAGTCTGACTGGTAGCTCTGTGTGAGTCTGCTGGGTATCCTATTTTGAAATAGTTTTGTTAGTTTTTGGGTCTTTCTTAAAGACCCCTTTTTATTATTTTGGTCAATTCTGGTCCCACGAGTATAGGAGAATAATAATTCTTACCTACATAGCTTCATTCTCAATTCTAGAAACTTAAGTAACTTAGAGGTTTGGACGCATTACAGTGCGATGCTTTTAATATGCAGCTTGCTATTGCCTTGGTTCCATATCGGCAATATACCTGGCTCAAGCTAAATCGCCAGGTTCGTACCACCATACATATCGGAATGGTGTTTAAATAGGTTTAATGTTGTTGGAATGGTATTAGATCAAGCGTTAGCATAAAATTGACGTAATTTATATCTAAGCTATTTTGCTTTATCTATTGCTTGTAATTGGTATTGATCCCATAGTCATGCGGACCGCGCGGTCACTTCAATTCGCTAGACACTGACTAGTCTAGAGATTTTATGGTTTAAGTAAAAATCCATAATAGATTTGCGACTTAAATTTAAACAGGCTAGTGGTTTGAGTCGGCCGATGGATAAGCAGTGCAGTTTGTCTCCACATTTTTTGACCAGCATAAGGATGTAACTGTATAAACCTCTTATTTATTTATCAGTAAAAAGATTCGACTCTATTCGTAATTTGGAGTGTTGAATAAAAACGCTAAAACCCTATTTGCTATAGGTGATGATAATGAACAACCAACACCAAAGGTGATGACAAACTAAGGAATAAATATAGAGGAGTGATAACACTAGCAGAAGAACAACGAGGTTTTAGGTAGGGAAGATCATGTACGGAAGCTATATTTATAATGAGGCAAGTGCAGAGAAATCATTAGAATACAACAAACTGGCATATCTATGTTTCGTAGACCTTACAAAGGCATTTACCGAATCAAATTAAAAGACGTTGTCTACTTACTGTGTGCAAGAGAGATACCTCTAGGAATAATCAAAACGATCAAAAATATCTACCAAAACAAGACAATAAAAGTAAAAGTAGAAGAAGAACTGACCGACCCTATTGAAGCTGGCAATGGGATAAGACAGGGAGATTCCCTGAGTCCTCCATTGTTCAACCTGATTATGGATGAAATAATAAAAAAGTAAGAACTAAAAAAGGATACAAAATGGAAGAAAAACAACTTAAAATAATCTGCAATGCAGACAACGCAATACTACTCTCTCAAAGTGAAGACAATTTGTAACATATGGTGCACCAATTTGGTATAGCCGGCAGAAAATTTAACATGTTAATGTCCTCAAAAGAAAACAAAATGCATGGTTAGATCAGCAAATTTACAAAGATGTAAATTGGAGCTGGAAGGTCAGATAATAAAACAAGTGATGGAGTTGCAATATCTAAACATCACTTTATCTAGCTACGGAAAGCTCGAAACTGAAGTGAAAGATCAAGTGATTAGAGCCAACAGAGCTGCAGGCTTCCTGAATGAAACAATATGGAGAAATGAAAATATCGGGAAAGAAATGAAAGGCATAATTTACAAAATAGTCATCAGACCAATAATGACATACGCTGCAGAAACAAGACCTGATACAGAGAGGACAAAAAGGTTGTTAGAAACAGCAGAGATTAAAACACTTCAAAACATTTATGGCAAAGTACTATGGGACAGAGCTGGAAGTACAGATATACGTCATAGATGTGAAGAACATCAAGAACTGGGTAAGAAATAGAAGAGTAGAATGGAACGATTATATATGCCGAATGACAACAAATATAGTAGTAAAGACGGCAAGAGACGTTTCCCCAATAGGGGGATTAATGTATGCAATGTTGTGCCCTTCTCTAAAAGTACACGCTTCTTTCTCTCGTAGAAAAGCATTTTGTTTATTCCATTATCTCAGCTCTTCCTCTGTTGTTGTTTAGATTCTTACCATTCACTATATGCATTGTTGTTAAGTTTATATATTTTTGAATCTTTTAGTACTCCGTCTAAGTACTATTATCAATCTCACCACTTCCTGAATTGACGTTTTTCTCAGCCTTACTTCGTCTGAAGACGAAGAACAAGGAGGATTTAGAGCAGGTCGTTCATGTACAGATAACATCTTCTGTCTTAAACAAATAATAGAAAAGAAAGTTGTGACAAATAGAGAGTTACATATGACTTTTGTAGATCTTGAGAAGGCATACGACACAGTCCCGCTAAATAAACCATGGGAAGTCCTGGGCACATCAAACATACATCAAACATTGGTTAGTGCTCTCAAAGATCTATATATTATGGTTCAAACTCCCAAATGAAATTCGGAAACCTCTTAGCTGAAAAATTTGCAGTTACTAAGGGTCTCAGACAAGGATGTTGTATCTCTCCGACTCTATTTAAGATTTATATCTCTGCAGCTCTGAAATAATGGAAAAGGAAAGTCAAAGGAATGGGTATACAATTGAACGGTCAGGATTACATATATACTTTACAGTTTGCAGATGATCAGGTGGTGATCTCAAATGACAAAGACGACCTGGAATACATGCTTAGAAAACCAATTGAAGAATACCAGAAATGGGGATTAAATATCAATTTAGAAAAGATAAAATACCTCTCAATTGGAGCTGAAGCAGAACAATTCTATATCGATGACAATTAAAAAATAAATCCATGTGACGAATATAAATACCTGGGCGTCATCTTCGACCGTAGTGGAAAAGACGAACGAGAAATAGAATATCGAATTGTACAAGCACGAAGAGCTATAGCATGTTTGAACGGAGTTCTGTGGAGTAAAGGAATATCGAAGAAAAGAAAATGGAACATCTATGAGACAATGGTTAAAACTAGCCTACTTTATGGAGCTGAGACATGGAGAATAACCGAGAAATATAAGAAAAAGGTCGAAGCCACGGAAATGGATGCCATCAGAAGATAGATGAGAATATCAAGAGCCGACAGAATACGGAATGAAGTGATAAAACAACAAATGGGTATAGAGGGCACTATAGTTGAGGATATTGAGAGAAAA